AAATTCCCCATGTCCCTGGCATGGGGGCAGAAATGGCCCTGAATAGGAAGCACCCTCAGGCCTCCTAAATGCAGGTGAGAGCCCAGCTGTGTCTGTGCACATGCTCACCCCACAGTGCTGCGCCCATGTCCGGAAGGGCAGAGCATGCCTCCCAGGGCACAGGAGGAAAATGAAAGCTCGTCCCAGTTTGGTCAGTCCCCACAGGGTGAAGCTCTCGGCAGGGGGCACACATACCTACCTGCTCTTTTGAAGAAAAACAAGACCAGCTGTGCATGATATTTTGCAGTCAGGTTTTTTCTTGAAGTTAGCAGATGGTGGACATCTTCCATATCAGTGCACATTGGCCTGTCATTTTAAACAGCTTTCAGTTATGTGACTGACACCTGAATGTGTTATAAAAAGTCTCAGCGATTTTGAGCATATAGCGCAGGAGGCTAACTTCATTCTCCTTAACACTCTGCATCACTCAAGAAATTATAACAGATTTTCCCCCCAGCTTCGAAATATAATCGAACAGTAAAAGTTGTATACATTCAGTTGCACAGCTTGGTGGTTTGGTACATACACATTTTATAATGATTACCTCGTTCAAATTAATCAGCACATCCGTCACCACAGTTGTGTGTATGCAGTGTGTGCGTATCTTTTTTCTTGGTGAAGACTTTTAAGATGTGCTTTCACCAGGTGTTGTGGTGCACATCTGTAATCCTAGCTGCTTGGGAGGCTGAGGCAGAAGGATCACAAATTGGAGGCCAGCCTAGGCAAGACCCTGTCTCAAAATAAATTTTTTTATAAAGGCGCTGAGGTGTATTGCAATGGCAGGGCGCTTCCTGCCATGCATGAGGCCCTGGGTTCAGCCCACAGCACTGAAAAGGGAGAGAAGACGTCCTTTCTTAGCAAATGTCAAGTAAAAAACACAGGCTGTACGTCAGATCCCCAGGATTTGTGCATAACTGAAAGTTGGTCCCTTCGACCCTTTTCCCCCACATGCCAGCTCCCAGCAGCTACCACCATGCTACCGTCTGCTTCTGTGAATTCAGGCTTTAGATTCCACATACTAGTGAGATGGCACAGTATTGGTCAGTGTCTGACTT